TATGACAGGTACTTGCAGATACACTCGTGTTCCTTGCCTGCCTCGTCTATCTCATACCCCTCCTCCTGATCTTCCACGTAAAGAGGGTAGATTAACAGTCTAATAAAACTGCTTGTATTCAATTCACTACCAGTTTCTGGGGGACTTGGATCCATAGGCAAAGGCTTAGATCAAAAAGGCCATTTTGGAGTGTGAGAAAAGAGCTGAACGACATACATGAAAAATGGATCCAGAGATGGAAGACGATTGATGCCATAAATAATTTTCTTATCATGGATCCCGCATCTAAACCTCCTGGCTTTGCTTTTCTAAGACAGAGCTGGACTATGATGCACAAGGTCCATAGTGGACAACTACCTACTTCGTGTAGAGGGCTCCAATGCACGGTTGCTAGAGTTCATGGCGTCATAACTGCCCTCTTATCCCAGAGCTATTCCCTGTCAGGGTCCCAGAGTCAGACACTAGTGCACATTGTGTCGGATGATCTCTAGGGCTCATACTTTGGTCCTACCGAGGCTGACATACCTCAGGGCTCCCCTGAATGGGGCCTAGCCAGACTGCAGTGCCCAGCGCCCATCTGGGATCTGAACTCATGTATGGGAGAAGGCCACTGAGGATGGGATGGACTCAAATGCCTGAGCAGTGACCACATACAAACAAGGCTGGAAACTGGCCTGATAAAGGAGCAGTGGATCCCCACGGAAAACCTACTGAGGCTGACATACCTCAGGGCTCCCCTGAATGGGGCCTAGCCAGACTGCAGTGCCCAGCGCCCATCTGGGATCTGAACTCATGTATGGGAGAAGGCCACTGAGGATGGGATGGACTCAAATGCCTGAGCAGTGACCACATACAAACAAGGCTGGAAACTGGCCTGATAAAGGAGCAGTGGATCCCCACGGAAAACCTGCCAGAAGAAGAAGAAACTCAGTGTCTTTGCAGCCCACACAGGACCCAACATGGCAGGCTGGGAGTGCTGTTAATCTTGGCAACTTGTTCAGGTGACTGCAGGAGACAGAGACCCAGGGAGGACCGGGCCTTGTTGGGATCTGGGCTCGGACCTGGAACAGAGACAGTCTGGGTTTTAATTCCCGATGAGAGGGCTTTTCTCTCCAACTGCGATCATTGCTAGCGCGGACCAAATAGCCAAATCCTTTAGTAATGTTAAGAATCTCATCCTGTGTTTCTCTGTGCTTTAGTGTGCTTGGAGCAGAATAGGGATAAATGTCCATCTTATGTTATGGGATGCTGCATGGATGAAAGGTTTAATAGTGACAAAAGACTATCAGATAGCCGAGGGGGGAAGAGAAGTGGGCAGTAAGTGGGGAGCCAAAGGAGGAACCTGAACACAAGTAGAAATGGGATTTAAAAAAGGCAGAAAACAGTTAATTCCCTCTGTTATCATTTATCTGCAGAAGTCATCTCCAGATCCAGTTGACACAGTCTGGAGCAGAAGTCAAGATGCCTGGGGGTAAAGCTGACTTATAAAACCTCTGGCTACACATTTACATACCTTGGCATGAACTGGACACAAGAGGCTCGTGAGAGCGAGCTGCTGCCAGCCTAAGGCTGTACACATCTGTTGGAAGCAGAGATGGCATGTCTGCTTTTAACCTTCCATTGTATTGTTTTTACTTTGAAAATATCTTCAGGTCTCAGGAGGGGTGGGAAGAAAGTGAGGGAGAAGTGGGCAGAGAAAAATCACCCTGTCTTATAACAAGTTTCCTTAAAATAAATCAATAAATAAGTTGTGGTTTGGAAGGGTGGGGGGAGGATTAGCATTAAGCCACTGGTCTGTTCATCTACAATGTCCATTTGCCTGTATCTCCCCCTCCATCTCACAAACCCTGTAAAAGAGTCCTCCTGTTTTGTGCCTCTCTCTCTCCTACGACTGTGCCTTCGGTCCCTTTCTGTTGTCCAGTTAAAATGCCAGATTGCAGAGCTCTGTGCACCAGATTCCCTTAGCAAACCAAAGCCAGATCCTTCCTCAGTGCTTGAGTGGAAGTGGTTCTTATTGGTACATAGAGGATGGGTGTCCCTTAGGAGAACAGCTGGGAAGCTCAAAATTTACTTTGCAGATCATGGGGAGACCATCTCTGGAATTGCTCAGTTAATTAGGAATTGTTTGAGACACTCCCTGGTAAGATAATGTGACTTGCCCTCCCACAGCATTAGCAGAAACTCAGGACACTGCATAGTTGTCCAAGAACAACTCTAAAAAGATGGTTGTGAGTAGTAAGCGTCCCCTTTTCCTTTCTGTCCCTTTTACTCCAGTTGTTTCCAGCATCCTCTGCTCTCAAGGAGTGACCAACATCTGAGCTCCCTGGGAGAATCCAGAGCCTCATGACAGGGCCGAGCCCCAGCCGCGGAGACCCGAGCCCCCTCCACCACCTCCCCGCCTCCCTCCCACAGGCCCTGTGCCCTAGCACTGCAGTTTGCCCATCCCTCCTGGCACCGCTCATGCCACCTCACATCTGTGCACCACAGGCTCAAGATCACTCTTGCACCGCTGCCTAGTGCTTCTGCTTTCCTGCAGCCACGTGTCCCTTCCTAGCTTAGCACATGGTGCTCCCTTACCTGCAAACCTCTAATAGCAGTTGCTCACCTCAGCCAGGGTCCTTCTAGGAGAGCCAGCTGTCCTTTATCCTACCTCCAGTCCTGTGAGGGACCCCAGGGGTCCATCCTCTCCTTTCTGGACAATTCACCTTCTCAAAGGCTTTGGCCCATCTGCCTCTTCCACTGAAGCTCCTCGAGCCATGGGAACAGAGCTCTAGGATGGAGGAGAGACCTGGCTACGCAGAAGTCAAAAATCCCCTTGGATCACACTGAAATTGGGGTTCATGGATCATCTGACACCTTAGGAGGAAAGGACCTGAAGTTGCCTTCACTGGGTGAGTGCTCACTGGGGTGACTAAGGGCCTCAGTGTCACCAGGAGGCCCACAGGATTTCACTGAAGTTTTTGATAGTCTCTAGATGCATTTTATTTCACTGTGGTCCTGGCACAGTAATACGTGGCCGTGTCATCTGTCTTCAGGCTGCTCATCTGCAGATAGACCGTGCTGATGGAGGTGTCCCTGGTGATGGTGAATCGCCCTTTGAAAGCTTCAGCATAGCTAGTACCACCGGTATTGGTATTGATCCCTCCTATGTACTCGAGCCCTTTCCCAGGGACCTGACGTACCCAATCCACATTATAAGTGGTGAATGAATAACCAAAGGTTTTACACGTCAGGTTCACCGACTCCCCAGGCTTTTTTACTTCTGTTCCAGACTGAGTCAGTTGGATCTGGGAGCTGACCCCTGCAGAGAAAGAACAATATAGGGAATTATATCCCATTAATGTCTGCTTTTTTACAATCCTTCTCCTAGTTGTGTCCATGTCCATCCTTTTGTTCCTGCCTGAAAGTATCTCAATTTTTATTTATTAACTCTTTTATCCACAGACACCCTGTAAGTGGCAAGGGACTGTTTTCCTTTATTCTCCT